AGCTAGGGGGTTTCTGGCTCTGATACCATGTAGAAAATAGAGAAAACCCTATTGTTGTTTATTGAGATAACAAGAGAGATATATATAGCCATACAAATAGGGTTATGGTTAACGGGTAACAGCTCATTAACCCAATACCCAATACTTAATTTAACATGGACGAAATAGTTCAGCTTCTTTCCACTCTTCCAAAGCTTTCTTAGTCAGAAAAGAATCTGAAGCCATACCCGCCTATAACTCTGCAATCCACCACCCGATCACGTCTGAAGTGTGGTGACTTTGGGGTTCCTTCCTCTTCGAAAGGATTTGATTTTGATCCCTTACCAAAAGGCTTCTACATATGGAGATGGAGGGTAGTAATACTAATCATAATATCATACTCAAAATCTTTCTACATATTTCATCTATACGTTCTCTTCATGTATATTGTATTTTTTGTTACATCTTGTATAGAAGCCAGGGAGAGCAGAGAAAGACTTTGGACATCTTGACGTTAAAATAGTGATCCGAAATGTTTGCAATCTCTTCTATAGTAGTGAGCTTCCCATCACTGAGGATGGCATGAAATCATGGACCTAGTAGCACCATTGACCCCTTTGCATGCTTGGTTCATAGAGGACGATCTCCAAGCATATGCAGATCTGGAAGAGAAATCTGTTTTTAGTTATCCACTGTAGGTAAGCTAAATTGGACTAATAGTGTCAAAAATAAGTTTTTCTTTTCGAATTTTCGATATTATTAGATGTAATAGAGGTTGTTAACATGGTAACCAATAGGTCACTTGATAAGATAAAGGTGAATGGGATGCAAAAGTTGAAGCCGCCACATTGTTGATTATGAGTCAGAATGACTACTGTCTGAAATTTCCAGGGATGGAAAAGCTTATTAGAAGTGGAATGATCAAGAATTTGTACCGAATTTGGAGATCATACTCATGCATGAAGGTACTCATTTTTTTCAAGAGCAGTCTCCAGGCGAAGTGAATAAGCTCATTTTTTATTTCATCACTAATCACGTTTTAGAAGATTGAGGGAGTGTTTCCTCAGTTTGCTGCTTGTTACCTAAAATAAGGTCTTAACTTGAATAAATGTTTGATGATGCAAATTATAAAAGAAATAGCTAGTCTTAGGATTCCATGTTAACAGAAGTACTTGCAATTATGTTGAGAGCTAGCATGTTCATTGTCATGTTTCTGCACAAAACCTCAGTTAGCACATCCATGGCTTTCTCCTTGTACTTCTTTTTCATATTTTCTGTATGTTGTGAGAACTCTAAGTGTTGTATGCAAAACCTGGCACAATGCTTAAATGAGTTTGTCTCACATGAATACTTTGGATGGTACAAAGAGCGTAATGGAGAATATTAGTAAGAATGTGATTCCTAGCAATCTAATAGAACATGATTTCTTTTATGTTGCAAGTCTGCACGGTCTTTAAGAGCTTTGTATGCAGTGAAGCACAACCTGTTTTGATACCAATTTGATGTAGGCAGGTGCTTAATGGAGAATATTAGTAAGAATGTGATTCCTAGCAATCTAATAGAACATGATTTCTTTTATGTTTTTAAGTCTGCACGGTCTTTAAGAGTGGAGCTGATTTGGTCTTCTTGTTATTGTTTCAGTTGATTCAAGAACTCACAAAGCAAGACTTTCTGAACCGAGGGGAGAAAACTACAAAAGAAATACAAAGTGAAAGCGTATAAGCATTAGAAAGAAACTCTCATTTGAATCAGATGTAAAAGTCTTAAAGAAACTAGTGCGAGAGCAACTTAAGCATGACACTGTGTAATGACAAAATATTAACTTTTGTTGGTTTGTATTTGTTGGATATTTTGGATCTCTAGTTTGTTGAATTGTTATATGCAATATTTGAAGTTTCTACTTTATTTATTGTTTTGGTTAGTGGTGGATGAGTTTACAAAGTTTTATTGATGAATGATTTCGGTTATTTTTATGGTGATTATTAGGTCAACTATTGACATTATTGCATTTGAGATTTTAATGTATTTTATCTAGATGTCAAGTTAGTTGGATATGTGATATACTATTTAAGGCATTTATTTTCACCAATTTCGATGCAAACCTTATGTAATTCGAGTATCTTATTTCTATTATCTTCGAGCTAGAATTTTAGTTCAGAAATTAGAATTCTACTTGTTGGCAAACAACTCAATTGAAATTTTTAAAATTAAAATTCTAAAATTTGTCAAACGTGAATTTCAAATTGAATTCTGTAATTCAAATTTGGATGTTTCTCAAACAAAGGAATTGAATTTGAAATTATAGATTTCAAATTTCAGAATTCAAATCTGGAATTTAAAATTAAATCCTCAAATCCAAACGCAACCTTAAGTATTTTGAAATTTGTCCCTAATATTCACATTTTGAAATTTATCCCTGAAGTCTTGTAAGTGTTTTGAAACTCAAATCTTTCAACTGATACTGTGGGACTAGTTTCAGAATATTTATAGTGGGGGGTTAATTTCCAAATATGAAGATTTGTGGGAGTAATTTCAAAATATTTAAAGATTTGGGGAGTAATTTTAAAATATTTAAGGATTTGGAAGACTAATCTCAAAATAAGATGATTTGAGGATCTAATTATCAAAATATGAACGATTTGGAGACTAATATCATTTGACATGTTATTTTGTTATGTTAACACTATGGACACGCTAAGGGCTTTCCTATTATATGTCAAAGATTAGAGATTTAAAAATGTGAAATGACCAAGAAGGCGAACATTATCTTAAGTTGTTTCTGAACCTGAAATTTTTCTAAACCTGAATTATTTCTGAACTGATGCTGATACTAATTAAAAATGTGCCGCCCCAAAAAGCATTGACAGAAGACGGTCAAAGCCAAAATTAGTACTGACAGTCATGTTGCAGTAGATGGCGACCGAAAGTTAGCTACAACTACCTCAACCGGCAGACTAGTAAACAAGTGGGTGGGCAGGATCTGCGACACACCAATAAATTGGTGCAGGAACATACACCAATTATTGATGTAGGGACATGCACCAATTCCTTATGTCCAGTCTCCGCCACAAGGCGCACGAAGCAATAACACAGTTAGCGCGGGATTTCTCTGCTTTGATGGAGTGCAAAGCGCCCTCTCTCAAAGCTACTTCCTTTGTTTTTGACAACGTAACCAGCGACACTGTTGACTTATTACAGTTGTCGCTCCTGATTGGGAAACGGTCATGCCTTCTAATATTAGGGGCATGCTTAGGGCTACTGCTACTCCAGAAGGGTACTTGGATCGGGAATGGCCTTCACTTTGGCCTCTAGATATTGACTGTGAGCTGGTCATCTTAGATTCATCGAAGAACCGAACAAGGTCATGTCCTGATTTGCTCAATTATGAATTAAGTTGTCTTTTTTTCTTCTTCTATGGAAACGGTTAAAAAGTACCTCTTTCTGAGTGAGTCAGAAGATTGATGTTAAGTTGAAAGATTGCTATGAAGAAGCCGATTTACCACTAGTCGACACAAGCAAGTGAAATGTAAGTTACACGAAAAAGAAGATCGGCACACAACACCAAACAAAGACTGGAATGGAGGTTACAGCTTGCTTTCTTCTTTTCTTACCGTAAGCTGGTGAACCAATACCACCGAGCTATTCGCTAAAACAAGAACATTAAACAGAGCTAGCAACGCCCATATCTAAAGACCTGTAACGCCTACTTATCTAAATGCTAGTGATGCCCTTTGCTAAACCGATGTAATCACTCTATTATATTTTGAAAGAAAGTCCGATGTCAGAAATGCATTTTTGTCATAATAAAATCATAAAAACAAGAGCATTTTTTTCCGTAAAATTAATCAGGAGACCATTTTAGATGATAGGACAGCAAAATGTAACAAAGTAAATCTTGAGAGGAAAAAGTCTTGAAAAGTATAACTTTAGGGGAATAAATACAGCCATGAGAACCTCGGGAGGGATAAAATGCAGCTTATTTAATACCATAAGACAAGCTATTTTTTTAAAAAAATCTTCACAACACGGAAATGCAGAGGACTTTCACATTATAACAAAGATTAGAGATTCAAAATGTGAAATTCCAATAATGGCAAATTGCTGGCTTACATTTTTTTCTGAACCTGAATTATTTCTGAACCTATAAAGCATGATACAATTTCCATGGTGCACGACATTTGAAGTACACAATTGTGTGCACTTCACATAATTCCCAACGTTCATATAAATACTGATCAATCAATTGTTAATTGCGTGTATTCTGTTTCAAAGAACTCTCTGAAGTTGGCCATCCTTGTTTAGACTCGACGGACTACCATTGGAATGAATCTCACAAATAAATTGTGTGCAAGTGTCAGAGTCCAAAATACTGATTTGCCTCCAAAATTATCATTTTGTATGCACAGTTACAGATGTTGAAAATTGTTGAACTCTGTTCTCATCACCAGAGCTGCTTCTAGTGGTGTTTTTACCTTCATGAATATGTTCTAAGAATTCCATCACTACCGCATCAGTCCAAGGAGCTCCAAATGGAGCTTCATCTCCTGATACCCAGCCAAGATGACCACCTTGCGGGGTAACTATAAGAAGGCAATGAGGATTTTCCTGTTGGGGGGAAAATGTGAAGAAAGGAAAAGGTAAGAATGGTTTATTTCAGAACAGAGTTTCCACTAAACATGAAAGGGACAAGGAATCTGTATTTTACTATATCATTTACGGCATTAAAAAGATCAAAACCATCAATTATTCCAAGATAGAATATTTAAATTAGTACTATCAAACTAATGTCTTATTCTTTCTTGTTATATATAATATTTTCACTTGTTAAGACTTTCCTTCAATAATAGTGTTCTTTCCTGTTAGAACTTTCTTTTCGTAGTACTCTCTATGAATATCCTACGACACTTGCATTTATGAAGGTTCCCCATCAATGATCATCTCCTTATTTTTTCTTCATGGCTTAGACACACGGGTAGCCTCATTTTTGTTTTCTTCGAATATCATCGATCCCAAACCTGAAAAAAAACCACATATCAACTTTTCTTACCATCTGCAGCCACCTAAACCTACCAAAGGATACGTGTGATTGATCAAAATTTCTCCAGCGGCCCATAAAGTTCTGCTAATTGTAGTTGAACATCGAAGGGAAGCGGTTTTGACGCGCAAAGATGTCACCCTTCATGAAGCTCCTCTTCATTGTCGTTGCACCGTCTTCCTCGCGTCATGTTTTCTTCATCATCATTGCTTGAGAAGCTCCTCTTCCTTGTTAATTCATCGTGTTCATTTTATTGTCTTCCATGTGGTCGCTCATGAAGCTTCTTTTCCTTGTTGTTGCTTGAAAGATCCTCTTCTTCATCATGGTGTCATCTTGCTAGTCATTGTGTCATCTTCCTCGTTGTCGCGAGGATCTCATCATCAACACGTCAGAGCACTGTAGCGTGGATGGTAAGATTGTTTTTTTCATGCACTGGGCAGCATGTCAAGCACAACGTCATCATCATTTTCATGTAACAACACTCCTCTTCCTTGCTGTGTGTTGTCCTCCATATCACTTCGTCGCTCTTTTCTCTATGATTCTTCGCCATCTCGGTCTCTGCTGTCCCTTCCTCTAAGATCTTCCAAGTAGTCATTCAGGATTAAAAGCTGGTTGGCGCTAAATGCGTAAAGGAAGATATGCTTTTAGCGAAAGTTAGAAAGAAAATTATAAGAGGCTTAAACAAGCATAGCTGGATTATCATGCACAATCACACTGTTTTCACTCACTGCCAGATTCGATGTAACAAAGACCTAGCTCTCGGCTTTGTTCCTCGCTTCTTCAAACTCCTTCCTCAAATATGTCAGGAAACTACTTTCTAACCAGTAATGAAAGTTCTGCTCTTGGATCCCGTCTTTTGCTTATCAGGTGAAAGCCTTCAACAATGGCTCTCTCATCTTTACTCTTCTCATCATATTCAGCTATTTTAGCTCTGACTTCTACAAAGGATTCCTCCTTTCACACCTGGTGCCATAGACCACTGAGATTTTTTTCCATCGATGAAAGATTTCTATTGTTCACCATCAATCTCATTATTCTCCATAGATGTCCTGTAATCCTATCCTACACCATCTACCTCATCATCGATTCTCCTGGATTCTTATCCTTCGCAATTGTTCTCATCATTGCAGAGTTTTCCTTATCCTTCGCCCCAGATTTCTATCCTAGGCCATTGATCTCATCGCCACAGAGTCTTTGTCGTATATCTAGAACTCTGACTCTTTCATTAAGTCTTAACTAGGGTTTAATTTTGATACTCATTATCCAAACTCCCAGTTGCTGGTAAATGTGAGATTAAGGGAATGTTAAATATAATATTTTCCTTCATTATGACTTTCCATCATATCTTTGTTTCCTATTAATCAACGGTCAATGAATAATGCAATGTTATATTAAACGTTGGGCGCTTCTAGGCGTCGGACTTGGCGCCCAGCGCTTAGTCGCCTAGGCGGGCGCCTAAACGGTTTCTGGGCGTTTTTTTTCTTTCTTCATTTAAGTGGTGGTCGATGAGGTTTTGCTGAAGGTCGGAGAAGGTAGTGGAGGTGTTCATATTTGGAGGTTAATGGAGTTTGGAGGACGTGTAGGCTACGACATCTAAAATCACAATCAAGGCTTACAGGGTGCAATCCACGTAAGCAGACAATGCTCCCCTAAACGCTCGTAAAATCTAGGTGGACAACCTAAATACCGCCTAGGCGTTAGGCGCTAGTTAGACGGCCTAGGTACCGCCTAGGTCTAGGCGTACGCCTAAGCGGACTAGGCGGAGGTTTTTTAAAACAGTGGAATAATGATAAATTTTTTTCATAGCATGAGTAATTTCTTAACAATAATAACTTGAGCAATAACAATAAATATCGTTTCATAACATGAGTAATTCTTAATTTTTATCTTGCCTTTTTTGCATAAGCAATTGGATAAGTATCTATTTTATGATAATTTCTTAATACTCTTCTATGTTAACATGCATGTACTTAAGACTTTGGTAGAATTACTTAATGTTAGTTTCCTACGCTACTCTCTTATATAAACAAAAATAACTTTTATTAAAGAAAATATATTCCTCTAGATATTGTTTGTTATTTTAAATACATAAAATATAATTTCCTTTCAACATTGAGTTTCTAGAAAGTTTCTTTTCCTAAACATGTATAACACATGCTAAGAGACCATACTTTTAAGAAATGCAATATATAACAAATTTAATGCTTAAATTAGTTTCCAATACGAATAATGTCAATTACCATAAAAACTCTAGTGATCGGGGGACCGCGGGGGGGGGGGGGGGAGGGGGGGCGGGGCGGGGGGCAAAGGGAGGAGACTGCGTTGAATGTGATGCCTTCAACGCGCTATCTGGGTCCAATCCAAAAAGCAATTGAGGATGTCAATGGTTCAAACATTGGTGGCTATTTGAATATGATCGAGATTTGAAAGGAGCTAGTAGATTGTGATTTTTCGGCAACTTTCCAAAACTGTGTTTGGATATGGTCGGGAGCTGAAGGAATCTCGAATGGTGTTATAAGGCATTGACGGAGCTTTGCCAGAAGAGGTTAGTCGTTGTTCACTTGGAGGAGTGATGTTATAACTTATTAGAAGCCGATTGAAAGAAATCCAGTGGTATGGACGCTCGCATATGTTGTCAGTGAAGATTTTGAGTGAAGCAAGTTTGGAGGATGAACTCCTTTGTGATCGAATCTCGACAGTTCATCGTTTTGTTCCAGAAGCGTTTGACAAAATTGTCGACCGATTCTCTGTCCCTCTGCTTCTCATCGAAGAGTGTTCCGATTGACACCTCCGTATCATCATCGAAGAAATTGGTGAGAAACATGCTTTCCATATCGTCCCAGCTGTTGATGCTTCCTGGCTTGAGATGACAGTACCAATCGAAGGCAGCTCCGCGAAGGGTGCCAACGAAGGACCGGACCATCAGAGGTTCATTGTCAGAGATCACGCCTAAGTGGGACTTAAAATAAATCAGGTGCTGAGTGGGTGAGCCCTTTCCGTCGAACGGTGTGAAGTTAATTAGATTGAATTTTACCGGATACGGGATTAGCTCCCACTACCTTGGGTAGGGATATTGATACGTGTGTATCTTCTTCTCTGCTTCGAGAGCTTAGCAATCCTCATGGGAGCTTGAGGATAGATGATTCTCATGATAGCATGAGAATATGGGTGTAAAACAGTACAGTGAAACGCAGGTAGAAACGTGGAACGAGACGACGAGCAGCAGATTCGAAGAATCCAGTTGTCAGCTCGTGAGTTGACTCATACATGTACATGAGTCGACTCATCAGGTTGAGTCAACTCATGACTGTCATGAGTCGACTCACGAAATCAAGCCCTGTTAGCAAAAGTCTCTGACCAGTCGACTCATCAGTTATGAGTCGACTCATATGAGGTCATGAGTCGACTCATCGACAGTTTCCTGATTCGTTTGGGTTTCTGTTCACACGAATTCCTGTTGGTTTTGGATTTGGTTATTTACCAGATTACCATCCACGTTTGCACACCTATATAAAGGGTTGTTTAGGGTTTCTAAACATCAGCTTAGATCAGTTTTATGATCTTAGATCAGAGAGATTCTAATCTTTGTATTATGGTTTAGAGAGGTTGTTCTCGATTCTAGTGAGATTGTGAGGGAGAGATTGTAATCTTTTGTTCTTCATAATCTAGAAGAAGGTATTTTCCTTCGCCATACTGAATTATTCTTGTGTTTTAGTTGTCTTCTTCTCAACCCACCTTTTGGTAATTCCCCGACCAAAGGGTGCTCGCACGGCGACTCGTATCAAGTTGGTATCAGAGCGATCAGATCCTGCAAATGGGGCATCCTGTGTATGGTCCTGACTCGATCGTAATACAAAAAGCTTGGCGAGATCCTTATTTCATTGGAAGGAGTCCAGGTTTTAAGGAGGAAGAAGATGGCTGAAGAAGACAATTCAGCGAGGATTGATGCATTGGAGAAGCAGATCGAGACGATAGGTTCGACTCTCACACAACTCGTCAGTCTTATCCATGGAGGTGATAAACAAGGTGAATCTTCTTCGAAAAAAATTATTGAGTCCGATGTGGAAAGAGTAGATTCAGATTCCGACGAGGAGGAGGAGACCGTTAAGACTGCATTGTATCAAGGGGATAAGAATTCTTATCAGAACCTGAAGATTGACTTCAAGGTGGAGATTCCTGTTTATGAGAGGAACCTTCAATAATAATTGGGCGAGAGTTATCGCCCTGGGTCTTCAGATCTGAAGACCAGCGAACCTTCTTCAAAAAAGAGATCTTCCTACACTTGCGAGAGGAGGAGGATCTGGAGGAGGATGAGACGTACTCCTCAAACTTCTGCTGGTCGAATTCATACTCGAGCGCTACATCAACCGAGATCTTGACCCTTGGTTGCGACACGACAGCCTTGACAGAGAGGCTGTTGACTCCCACTGTGATCGCCAACATGTTTACGTCGAAAATCATTTTCATTGTGGAATCCATTACAATCTTTAATCGATTTACAAGATTCGAAAGGAACATTTTTATAAGAATTTTCTTACACGAATGAAAATAAATAAAGACTTCCTAAAAA